GCTCGTCCCCCCCGCTGTCTCTGTCCCTCCCACCCCCCGCTCCTCCCTTTCATCGCCTTCAGCCTTTCAGCTCCTGCCCAGAGCTAACAGTGGGGGTCTGTAGCGGGTGTAAGGCACACCGAATTGTCCCGGCCTCCCTGGGCAGCTCCCCAGGGACCAGGCGTACGTGCGACTGGGAGGAGGGGGCCCGCTCTGCTTCAGTGCCCAGACCCCGTCGTGTTGGCGCTTGGCCCATGTCTCGACGGCGAGCACTGTCAGTAACCATGGCAATGAGGGTTTTCCAGCCGCCCCGGTGTCAAATTTATGGTGGGGGAGAGCAGCAGTCCCAAACCGCGATTTCTGCGGTGAGGGGTGTTAGGAAAGGGGCAGTCTGCCTTCGGGGGAGAGCCCTTCTCTCCGCAGGGCATCAGCATCGCCCCGGCATCCCCCGTTTCTCCCCTTGCAGGACGGCCGGAGGTCAGTCTGGCCCCCGGTGAGGTGGAAACACTCCAGGGGGTGCGCAGGCTGGGGAGGGCCGTGCGAGCTGAGCGGAGCCGGGGTGACAGCGGCGGCCTGTTAATGGTTACCTGCCGCACGCCGCCTCCGCACATCTGAGCGAGGAAAATGTCCCCTCTGTGCGCAGCTGGGTCCGCGCGCCCGGGCTGCCACGCTGTGCGGGAACAGTGCCCCAAGGACCAGGCTTCCACTGGAGATGGAAGATGTGGAGCTGACGTGCCGTGAACTATCTTCTGACATTTTTAGAGGTAAAAAGCTCAAGTTAAGCAATTGCAGGGAAACACACCTGGGTTGGTCACACTCCCGCTCCTCCCTCGGCATGAGGCCCCTTCTGCAAACACAGCCTTCTGCTGCTTGTTTGAGCGGGGGAAGAAGCAGTTCCCCGCCCTGCATCCCTCAGAGAGGGCCCGCAGAGACCACTGCCGAGGGGATGTGCACCAGCGCATCTACCCCCGCTCTCCTGTGCGGCCAGCGCCCGTCTCCTGGTCCCCAGCCTGAGGGGGCAACAGGAGGGGAAGGGGGAGGGCTGGAAACAGAGGAAGGAGTGAAAATTTGCACCGGGCTTTGCCGTACCTTGGGCTGCTCTGCCCTGAGGACTCCAGCGGGGTCGGTGGCTCCCAGCCAGAGATGGCTGGAGAAAAGCAGCAGCGCACCCCAGACCCAGCTCTTTCACAGCTCCACCAGCCCCTGGTTTGCTCATCGCA